AATTTGCATCTATCAAGAAAGTGTAAATGCCTCTAATTTACGAATTTTGTCAACCCAAAACCTCTATATAAAGTTTATTAGTAGAAGTTGTGAATAAAACTATTTTTCTACCTCTTTATAACAAATTTTAGACCAACCTAAACTCAACATAACAAACCTTAGTTCAACGAATTACTTGATATAACGAATATTTACTTGTTCCCTTCCAATTTGTTATATCGAGGTTGCACTGTATATATGACACACTTAAGTTTAACCAACCGCAATCGGCTGCACCTAGTATTAGCCGGTTACACACACATATAAATAAAACCACCTCCACGATATAACACACACTCCAAATCAGAGAGCAACTTTAAAAAAAATTAGTTTTAAAATAATGGAAACGGTCCTTCCCCAAAATTGCAATTGAATAACTGACCGAATTGGAACTATCAGAGTCTGAATCTGAAATTCATCTAACTGCCTCTGCATATAATATAATATGTTAGCCTCGAGCTTCTTCTGACCACCGATCCGAAGTTGTACGATGTTCAGGTTACCTCCCTTGTGAACTTCTGAACACTGTCAGTGGAATCTGTGTCGTTGTTTATTCCCCACTTAAGTACGATTTTCAACATATGCGGTAAATGTGGCGATACAAGTCAGCAGGTGGCAATTACAGGTGAGATGCGGCATTTCGTTCTTGGCGGCAGATCTGCTACTCGTCAGAAGATTCGTCGAGCTGCGCAAATGCTGTCAAATGATACGTCAAGCAATCGAATATTACATTCCTTTTGCTGACTTATCTATCGATGTTAAAGCTCGCTTATGGTGTAACGATGAATGCGCCCGTGCTGAAAAGCTTCCGGACTCTAAACGTGAACAAAACTAATAGACCGGATGGCATACCAGCTATAGTTCTAAATGCTTGGGTGCTTAAGTTGTCTCCTGTGTTTACGCGTTTGCTCCGCCTCTCATTTAGGACTGGTATACACTACCCAAAACTGGCCTGTGCAGTCTGTGCCTAAAAAGAGCTGCTGGACCGCACCACGCCTGATGGGAGGACTGAAGCATTTTAATTTTAAGTGAATGATCTCTCTAAATCATTGTCAATGGCTCTTCGTCCAACCCTATGGCGACTAACACCGGAGTTCCTCAGGTGTTTGTTGTCTCTGCAATATTTGTATGGTTGTAGTACGAATGGGTCGGCTCGACCGGGGTAGGACCACGCTCTCACAGAATACCAGCGTAAAATAGCAGTTAAATTCTGCTTTCGTATGGTGAGTGAAGAGAACCGGATACCCTTTTTTACTAGAAACGAGGCATTCCATCTTAATCCTCAGGGGTGGCAACGCATCTGCATTTTGATTCTTAATCGAGGGTAGATGTAGATGTTTATGGGCCACAGCATCCACTTACCATCAGGTGGACTGTATGCTCGTTTGTCACTCATATTCTATAAAAAAATATATAGTTGATCTGCTTATGCCCGGCATCTATGGGTATGACATATTATAGTATATTGAGACGATAGCACAGTTATGAAGAGGTACAGATTGTAACGAGAGGGCCAATTGCTCGGGCTAGTCTGAATCAAATCCACTCCGAAAAAAACTGTGGTGAGCGTGCAAATCTCTCTGCAGGCAGCGAGCAGTGTCCGAATGGGGCGATGTTAATCTTATGAGCATCAGCGACGTTGTAACTAAGCTCGCAATTTATTCTGTGCTAAAAACGTGATTTTGGTTGCAATTTTTTAGGTGGGCGTGGGTGCGCATTCTTACAATAAGTTGAGCATAGTCATGCGTCACTTTGCAGAATATTCTGTTTATCTTCTTTCTTTGGGCTGAGGTTATATGAACTATGTCCCTTTTTTATAGAATAGGGAGCTAATGAACACGCGGCTCACTTTATGGTAAGTGTCGACCACCGTCGATGAACAACTGCAACATCAGGGGAATTGCAGGTGCATCGCCGGCATTTTAAAAAGAAGTAGGTAAGCTCATTTATTGAAGGCTTAAGTCCCCCAAAATCTGTATTCCTTTATTCCTGAGAAAATAATGTTGAACTAGTCTTCGCCCTCAAAGATGAGCTGCGCCGAGTAACCTTAAGTCTCTCAATGAGTAGTTTTGTACAGGTACAACGCACATCCTTCGTTCCGGCTTAAATCAATAAATAAAACTAAACTTTACAGACTAAAAGGTATTCTATAAAGGCACACTAATACTATATGCATTAGCATCGACACACACACTAAGACCAACGCGCCATCGTGAAATGAAACATTATACCATCAGGTTAGCCGCATGCTCGTTTACCCTTCTTCTATAAAAAAAAACAGGTAGGATGAGATACTGTATATACTCTTAAGTGCATAATTAAGGGCCTATAGTACCTCAGCTCAAATTCTAATTTCGTCCCCACTTCCCCGCGCGTCGTATGCTATCTACCGACATGTTTGTAACCACTAATACTGTGAGTAGATAGGTCGTTAGATACTTATTTCATTAGGTTTATCATATTTTGCCTGTTTCTTTACGCCAACCCAATCGCTTCTTATTCTTATTACGGTTATTTCCAATTTTAATTTTACGTCGTCCTGTTACGTAATGTGTATTCTGATCGTACGCTACACAGCCGTTCGAAAGCCGTAGCGAGACTAAGCAGGAGTATCGGGTGGCAAGGAACAAGCTTCAGGACGCTGATTTTTTAGGTAATTTCGTTTTACAGTGAAAACAATGGCAATTAAAAAATATAAAAAACATAAGCCCTGCATTATAGTTCGTTTAGTTAGTATGCAAAGTTTCATGATCTAATTTAAAGTATTTTGATTATAAGTACTTTGGATTTTTTCTATTGAGAAAATTTTACGGAATCGTGTTTTCATCTAACATAGTACTTACCATCAATCCTCAACTTTACCATGTTATATTTATTTCAAAATTAATGCTGCAATGTTTTCGGCATAACGGAGAATCTTGCTAAGCCATTTGAGGTAGTATAGGCCCTTTAAGTTACCTTATGAATTTACCAGACTTAAACATTAATATTAGATTAAGGCCGATATTTCCATCCACATTAAAAAAATATTCATAGGATAAAATACAACATAAACAAAATTATACATACGCTGCACTAAAAGTATCGGGAATGGAATATTTCCACTGTTCCTGTCATATTAAAATCTTTTTAATTGAAAACTCCTTGGTTTTAAAAATCGAATACCATTTATTTATTTAAAAAAAGATTCTCGGTCTTGTCACAAGGTTTTGTCAAACTTGTTTAGTCGTTGAGAAAATGGAATTGACTCGAGAAAATTCAAGACCGATGATTTATTATGACTTTCCAAGTGGTTTAACACAAAAACAGAGTGTTGACCGGATGATTTCTGCATTTGGTGATGGAGCCCCATCCAAAACTACAATTTATCGCTGGTTTGCTGAATTTCAACGTGGACGTGTCAAGGTCAGTGATGATCCCCGTCAAGGTCGTCCAAAAACTGCAGTCACCCAAGAAAACGTTGATGCTGTGCGTAAGCTGATTGAGGAAGATCGACATGTGACATACCGCGAAATTCAGGCAACTTTAGACATTGGCATGAGTCAAATACAAATAATCTTGCATGAACAATTAGGTGTAAAAAAGTTGTTTTCCCGATGGATACCGCATTCGTCCTGTGAAGAGCAAGAAGCGGCTCGCGTTACTTGGTGCGTCAGAACTCTCGAAAGATTCCACGCAGGATCCTCAAATGCTGTATACAACATCGTATCAGGTGACGAATCCTGGACATACGCGTACGAACCCGAAACAAAAAACCAGTCACGAGTTTGGGTGTTCGAAAATGAGTTAAAGCCAACAAAATTGTTCGTTCACGGAGTGTTGCGAAAAAATGATGGCCACGTTTGTCTCCAAAACTGGCCATGTTACGACTATTCCTCTTGAGGGACAAAGAACGGTTAATGCGGAATATGGTATGCTAGCATTTGTTTGCCACAGGTCGTTTCTGAACTCCGTAAAGAAAACTGCAACCGCCGCATCATCCTCCATCACGACAATGCGAGTTCTCACACCGCACACAGAACAAGAATTTTTAGAGCAAGAAAACATAGAATTATTAGACCATCCGCCGTACAGCCCCGACCTAAGCCGTAATGATTTCTGTACTTATAAATTGCGTGGACAGACTTTCATCACATGAAGAAGCTGTGAACGCCTACAAAACGGCCATTTTGGAGACCCCAACTTCCGAATTGAATGGTTGCTTCAATGATTGGTTCCATCGTATGGAAAAATGTGTCAAATTTCGCGGAGAATACTTCGAAAAGCAATAAATACATTTTTAAATAGTAATGTTGTGTCACTTCCTTGATTCCCGAAATTTTCAGTGCCGCCCTCGTAATTACAGTTGTACAAATAAAATATGTGGTTCAATTGTTTCACTTTGATATTCAGTCAGGTTATAATTTATTCGTTGAATAAACTTTTTTAACTAACAATTGAAAAATCGACGATTATTAACATGTTGTGTACACGAAACTATATTTTATTAAAATGATATAACTTTGCCTTGCAGGTAAAAGTAGCAGGGGTTGAATATCAGCCAGCTGTGGCCAGTGCAAATAAAAAACAAGCAAAAGCAGATGCAGCTCAATTGGCACTACAAAAACTTGGCATTGTTACGCAATAAAAAAATCTTAAATAAACATCGCATTTTCTATACATATTAATATATTGGTAATAAAACAACTGCTTAATTGGTTTACATTTATTTTATTTGCATACATAAATATTACAACATTTGGATAACACAACAAGTACCTACTAATAACTATTTTGTAGCTAAGGGAATCTTATGTTACTAATGGAATTTTCCAGAACATAACTGTGAAATAAAATTTAGAAATGGATACATAATGTAACTGCCACTAAGTAGCATTAACTCTTCTATGCCTAAAACATTGTTTTATCCATTGCATCCTATTCTTATTTCAATCAGATCTATTCCAAAGCCTTGCCCACTATTAATTTTTGCCTTGTTGTTTGATTCTGTAGTCTGATAAAGCAGCTTTTATAGCATCTTCAGCAAGCACTGTAAATTTAATTTCATGTTAAAAAATTCAGGAACCTATTAAAACTTAATTATTTGAGACATAATTTAAAATTCTTCAAATTTTTACCAATGAAATTTACATTTAATTTATTCAAAGTAAAATTAGGTGTAGCCCCACATTGCTTTTGGCCTAAAACAAAGTGTAGTAGTCTTGATAATAATATAAATAACTATGACTTCTATAAAGTTTATAAAAATATGTAAACACATATATCGGCAACAAGAGACTAGTGCACATGGGGTAGTCCAGCCAAAGTTATCTTTTTTCACATCACAAGGGTATACCCTCTACTCCCTCACCCTTTCACACAGCTGGACAATTTGAAGTGCTTACCAGTATGTAGTTAATATACATTTTTAACATCCCTTTCTTCCCCCCTACAATTGATGGTAGGTTATGTACATTACATCCTGGCAGCAATTCTCCGACTACTGTTCCCAATCCCATAGTAATAGTAATATCGTAATGAATTAGAACTCCTTCCAATCGTTAAAATCAAAATGGATACAATCATTTAATCATAAAAGTAAAATGCTGCTTCTGCTTACTTGAACAATGTAGTTTCACTGGAGGAAGGGACAATTCTTTAGCTATATCAGTATTTTTTAGTTTAAGAGCCTCATCCACAGTTTTACCCTTAACCCATTCTGTAGCAAGCGAACTAGAAGCAATAGCAGAACCGCATCCAAAGGTTTTAAATTTTGCATCAATAATCTTTCCATTTTCATCAACTTTAATTTGAAGCTTCATCACATCTCCACACGCAGGAGCCCCAACTAGACCAGTACCAACATTTTTGTCTTTTTTATCCAATGATCCAACATTTCGAGGATTCTCATAGTGATCAATAACCTATAAAATATATAATTTTCACATCCAAATACTGATAAAATTAGATAACAAAAATCAATAAGCCCTGACTTTGGGCTAATGCGTAACAAAAACAAACTCACGTTTGCATGGTAAGCAGTTGTTTGAATAATACCGATGTTTTTGGAGCAGCACAAGGTTCTACGCAAATTAGGAATTATACAGGCCATTTTTCCAATCCCAAATGCTCTCTTGAAAAAAGACTAAATTAGTCTCAAAATTACTACTTTGTACAGTTTGCTGCTAGCCTACGCAGTACGCACATATATTAGGGATGTTCCTCTAGTATATATACAGTAATCTATGGGTGTCTCGATGATAGAGGATCATCGATGTTAGAAATTAAAACATCAATGTTACCACACCTTAAACATCGAAACATCGATGTTGCCACATGTCAAACATCGATGTCAATGAACCAATAATCGATTAATAAGAACCTGTGAACAATGCGAACCCGCGAAATCAATATCAACTATATATTTCATCTCCCATTAAAGGTTTAAAAGTTTGAATTCCTAAATGCATCGATTACCTAAAAAAAATATTATTATGTTGTGTCAAACACCCTGTCAAGTGTGAACTGTAATGTCACAGTTGTCACTGCTTTCGCTATGTTATTGTGGTGTTGTTGTCGATTGTCGCCTAATAACTATTCTATATAAATTGATATTCAAATTAACTCTTTTTTCCCTTGCTGTCTATACACACATAATTTTGAAACAATATGTATCTACACAATTTAATTATATTTAGCTGTTTTTTTGAGCTTGGGATAACAAGTTTATTGTTTGCTTGAAGTTTCTGAAAATAAACTACTCGGCGATCGTTAGCATAGACAATTTCACTGTATAGTGCAATCTATAGTGCATTTAATAAACGGCTGTGGATACTTACTGCTTGGGCTGCCTGATTAAAAATTGTGTGAATAAAGGTGACGGAAAAGTCTATTATTTTGTTTTTGTTAAGTTTGTTAATTTTTCCTCTATAATCATTTTTTGTTTCGCGATAGGAGTAGTTAATATAAAACCTACGTCTAAATTGTAAATTAGGATAGTAATTTTTTTTAATACCAGATTTATAATTATATAGGAACATTTAAATATCAAAATAATAATATTCATCATTATCGGCAAAAACTATAACAAATTAACTATACATTTATTAAGTTTTTCCCATTTTTAAAATTACTGTTTCACACTAAACGTTTTATTAATTTCTTTAATAACAAACCATAAACAACACTTCTAATTTTTTGTTAATCTAATTTTAACCTACTAAATGTGCTATAACATCGATAATGGCCAACATCGATGATTTGAGTAGAGTAAACATCGAACATCGATGTTAAGCTATCGATATCAACATCGATATCATCATCGATGTTTCTGTAACATCGATCATCCCTAACATATATGTACTTCAGATTCAGATAAATGTCACCGATACTGCACATAGATGTAACCGATATATTCGTATTCGTTTCGTTAAGATATTAGTAATATTAGGTGGATTCATAGATCAGTAATCCAACTGATTTTGATATGCTAATATTTCATATTCACTTCATTTATATACTGACCGTTCAACATCAGTTGGATAATATCATTAGACATTATAGTGACCGACATCTGTATCATTCGTATCCGTCTCTATTGTATACAAACCTTAGGCACTATTTCCATTGGATATTTAACAAATACAACAAATCTTTATAGATGTCTAAAATTTCAGTTTATTTATTTTAATAAAATTATTGAGGATATATTAGTTTCATTGTCATTTCCCCATAATTCTTAAGATCGTATCGACTTTCATTAAACGAGTTCACATATTTTTAGGTATCATAAAACATTATTAAAAATTAAACTAACAAAACAAGGGCCCTTGTTTTGTGCAGTGGAATTTATTTTTATTCTAATCACTTAAAATCACTTTCAGTGATACTTATATACTACAATATCATTTATTTAATAACAACATTAATATTTATCAAAGTATATAAACCTAACATACATGGCTATAAAAACTAATAAAGTTACTTGGTAACATAAACTTAATACCTACATGAATAGAATAGTAATATGTATAACCGTCGTATTAAGATATCAGTAATATTCATATATAAATTGAAATATTATTATATCACTTGACGAATATACTCATATTAACTAATACTGACAAATATCACTATTAACCGCTCGTTTGCTTCTTGCAACCACAGTTGCAAAAACAGAATCGTTAACTTTGCTCTTTGCAACTGTGGTTGCAAACCGTCGAAGTTCTTTTAATTCAATTTAGACCATATTTTAAACGCACAGAGTCTAACTATTACTTATTAAAACCAAAAACAAATATATAAATCATAGATTTGGATCAAAATTACCAACCTCTTGGACGAAAAATATTGAAACTTCGTTAGTTAAACTTCAGTGAGTTAAGTGACGCTTGAGTGGATTTAACGAGGTGATAAAATATGCCGTGAGTATTGAATTTTATTGATTTTTGCTAGTAATTATATACCAAATTAATGTCTTATTAGTGTTTTCTTGTATTAAAGTAATATTTTTGCAAATAGTGTATGAAAAATGACGCGAATCTAAACATAATTTTCTATAACTTACATTATCGTAATTATGTTGCATTCTTTAAATACGAAATAGTCGTAGTGGTATTTAAATATAATTATTAAATTTAAGTAATAAAGTTTTATAAATTATTCATCATATTATAATATAAGTTTTTATGTAATAACAGTCTAGATTGTAACTAACAAATCGCGATCAATTGCGCAATCCGTGAATTCTTCGTCCGGTCTCACTTAATATTTTTACTATGTATTTAAATTTAAATCGATTTATAATATAGATAAATATATCAAGTAATTCATTAAGTTTAAGGATATAATAAATAATCATACACTTATCGATCTTATTTTTTTGATAAACCCGATGATTTATAAAAAGTCGCTAAAATGGCTTGTACTTGTGATTTCAACACCTCTAAAATATTACTGTAATCATATTTTGATAGAATAACATACGTTATTTCATTTCTTATTTCAATGGCTATTCATAAAATTTAAAATATTTGAAGTGCTCCTCTCGAGTAAATCATAAATTAAATTTTACTGACGGCGGGTCGAACATGAGAAACACAGTCCCGATTACTGGCAAACTAAGCTACCCTTTTTTTGTTCGCAAGCAATCGAGCGGTTAATCCATCTGTATACTTCACAAATAACTATATACTAGTCAGAGAATGTACTTCTTCAAATTTATATTATAGAGAATGAGAATAGGGATGACGATCTGAGATCGATTAATTAAAGAATCGATTTCTTGTGCCAAATAGATCGATTTTTATATCGATATATAGTACTGAATTGGTATTTTACCCTAGAAATTCGAGATCGAATCTGTTTCTGTTTTTTAGAACTATAAAATACTTATCTTCACGCACAATCCCTAACGGGGTAGCCAGAGAGAACAGATCGCCAAGTGTCACGATCCTTACATACCTCTTTCGCTTCTTTCAGGTTCATTATCTTCTTCATACATGCACGTCTAGGTATCCGAGTACTCTTGACCTTCTCCTCTTCGAGTAATTTGCTCACATGGTCTTCGAAAGTTAGTCTCTGTCTACCTCGACACCTATTAATATTTACTTTCGCGCTATATATTTTCTTCACCATTCGGTCTTCACTCATTCGCACAACGTGCCCAAACCATCGGAGTATGCCCCTATCAATTTTTGTGATAAGGTCATCTTTCAATCCTGCCATATTGCGAATCTCTTCGTTTCGCTTTCGGTCGGCTATGGTGACGCCGCACATTTTACGAAGAGATCGCATCTCCACTGCATTCAACTTGCTTTTATGCTTCTTCTGGCACACCCAGGTTTCGCTGCTATATAACAAAGTCGGTACCAACACTGCGTTATGTATTGCAAGGCGTGCACTCTTCACTACGCCTTGCCTTTTGACTAACGTATTCAGGGCACCATTAACTTTGTTCCCGGCAGCGACACGCCTGTCCACATCTAAATCACATCTTCCATCCCGGCTGAAAACACTCCCCAAGTATACAATTCATTTACCTGTTCTAGACATTCCTGATTTACCCATATTTCACATTTCGTTCTCTCTTCGTCCTTTTCAAATACCAGAACCTTAGTTTTATTAGCATTAGAACTATAAAATTACAATTAGTTGAATGTACTCGAACTCGTAAAGAATGACAGAGTTTGATATTGTAAATATAAACTCTAAAAGCAAATCCAAAAAGATCGATTTTTCTGAAATCAATCTTATAGACCTCGACTTTTTTGTTAATCGATTCATCACATTTTGATTTGAATCGATTTAAAAATGACCCTAAGTGAAAACTGAGAATATATTTTATATTCTTTGCCCGCAAACGCAAACCAACTATAAATAGTAAATACCTGATATTTAAATCACTTGATACTAGGTATGAGACCGATATGTCAAAACATAACTATAATAACGTTACATTGATTAAAATTAATTTAAATAAAACGCGATAAAATCCGTAAAAGTAGTTTTAATCAATGTATAGTGTTCGCGTAAATATAAGAAATCATTATATAATAACGTTAATTATTATAATAACGTTATTTTATCAAAATATATCATACAATATCATATCAATAAATCTAAGTAATAACCGTTATCACATATTCAACCAAAATCAACGTACGAAAATGAAACGCATAACGCATACTGTGGATAAATCTGCCAACACCATCCCATGAACTAACCGACGCCCTTCGTTGTTATTCGTTGGTTCTCATTCCTGTAACTATATAATTAATAAGTATAGAAAGAGAAGGAGCGGTTATGGATTTCGTTGTGGTGTTTTGGTAGTTGTCACAAGTTGACAACTACCAAATTGGTGTTATCACAAGTTTCTTGTATATATTCTTGTTGGTCTTGTTTACTTACCGACGAAAATGATAACAAATCTGTATACCAACTGTGAAGCAGACTACAAGCCAGCATAAAAGCAAGCTTAAGCTTAAGCATAAAAACTTAAGTATAAAAATAAAGTTGATTCATTTCTTAACCCTGGCATTTGTTACTTATATACAACTTTTACCCTTTTGTTTTTTACATAGAAATAAAATTTGCAAGCGATATATCGAAAAT